GAGGCTGGCAGAGGACAGCTTGTTAGGTCAGGGCAGGGTCCTCATTCACCAAGCAATCCAAGGGCCCAGGGCCTGCTGCTCCTGCACTGTGTGCTGGAGGAGATTTCTAGCTGCACTTTGAAGAGAGGTGTGTTGAGTGTGAGGTGCTCCAGCTGTGGCCTTGACCACCCCCCGCCTGCAGACAAGGCTGCTGGTCTCCCTCCCGTGACACACAATCTCTAACACCTCCCCCTGGAGCTGAGGAGTGGCCATTGAGAACACCCCCATCTAGAGGAGGCTGGTCCCTCAGTCAGGCTCAGAGCCAGGGCAGGCTTGTCAAGGATTGCCTGACAGCTAGCTTGGAAGCCTGGCTCCCTCCATATGCTCTACTTGCCTGCATTCTTTTTTAAAAAATATTTTTATTTCTCAATTACAATTCACATTCAATGTTATTCTGTATTAGTGTCAGATGTACAGGGAAGTGGTTAGAAAATCAACTTCTTTACAGGGCAGACTCCTGGTGCTTCAAGCTACCACCTGGCCGCATACATATTTTTCGTGATATTATTGAATATTGTATTCCCTAGCTCTAACCTTCTTCTCTGTGTCTGTCTGTAACTACCAATTTGGCTGCCTTTTGAGGAAGCAGAAGAGACAGNTTGTTACTACCAATTTGGCTGCCTTTTGAGGAAGCAGAAGAGACAGGAAGGTAGCAGGGGTGGTTGTGTAGTCTAGCTGTCTATTTATATTAAAAAATCAGCCCCAGTTGCATTTAAATGTTTGGTGAATTTTGTAGGAGTTGTCTATGACAGAGTACAGGTGGGCGGGTTTCAGAAGAATCATGAAGCCTCGAGGAATTGTTGCACGTGGGATGGGTGCCTTCTGAGGTGGTGAACACCCCACCCCGTCCCTGGGAATGTGCAGCACAAGGGCTTCCTTCCTTGGCTGTGGGATTGTCCCAGGTAGAAATGATCTCGAACAAGGAAGTGAGATTGAAATGCTAGCATAAATATCAGTCTTTGGGTCCCACCAATTCATGACATTGGTCTAGGATTGGGACATTGTCCTGGGATTTGACGTAAACCTCTAGAGATGGTTAACACAGCTGTGCACTTTCTAATGACAGTGAGTCCTCCCTGCCTGTGTCCCTGTTCCCACATGTGGGATGATCAGACTGCTGCTGAATCAGTGGAGATAGCAGGTGTCCCATCCCCGCCCCCACAGGCAAGGAGGTTGACAGGCAACCACGAACATTCTCAACGGACTTTGTCTACTGGACTCAAGGTTGACAGTTGAGTCTGTGGAGAATTCGAGGAGAATTCGAGGTTTCGAGTGTTGACGCTACTGTGATTGGCTATAAACTTTCGTTCCTTGCAGGTTGGTTTAGAAATCTCAGGTACTGTAATTTCCATACTGGGAAATAACTTACATATCGTCACCACCACCATTGGGAGGCAGTTTGGCATCATTGAAAAGCTTTGGAGTCAGACAGAACTTGATTTGAACCTTGGCTTCGTTACTTACTAGCTCAGTGATTTGGGGAAAGTCCATTAGGTTGTCCAAGCCTCAGTTTTTCCATTTTGAGTTGAGGTGAATCACAGCTACATGCAAGGCTGTATGAGGGGTAGAAACAGTTCTTGTAAACGCGGGCGCGTTGCCTGAGACATAGATCCTTAATCAATGGTGGCTGCTANTGGGCGCGTTGCCTGAGACAATAGATCCTTAATCAATGGTGGCTGCTATCATCATCATAAGCCCCGTGCTGCTCTCCGCAGGGCCACTGTGGGTGTGCTTGAGGCTACAGGACTTACTTTTGGAGTCTGGGTGGGGAAGAGTATCTGAGAAAGGGAAGCGTGGGCGCTTAAGTGGCGAAGGTCTGTCACTAGCATCGTGTGGACAGGCTTCCAGACCAGGCTTCGGGTTTGGACTCTTTACTGTGGCAACATGGACGAACCCTGAGCTCCTGGGTGGGGGGCAGGTGTGTGGTTACTGTCCCNTGAGGCTACAGGACTTACTTTTGGAGTCTGTGTGGGGAAGAGTATCTGAGAAAGGGAAGCGTGGGCGCCGAAGTGGCGAAGGTCTGTCAGTGGCATCCTGTGGACAGGCTTCCAGACCAGGCTTCGGGTTTGGACTCGTTACTGTGGCAACACGGACGAACCCTGAGCTCCTGGGTGGGGGGCAGGTNCGGGTTGGGACTCTTTACTGTGGCAACACGGACGAACCCTGAGCTCCTGGGTGGGGGGCAGGTGTGTGGTTACTGTCCCTCAGGAGCCTGGCCCAGGGCTTGGCCCAGGAAGGCATGCTATAAATCAGGGGCGGGGGGAGTGAGCGAATGAATGAATGAGTTTGAGGGATGAGGAACGATCCCATCAAAGCAAACTNGATGAATGAGTTGAGGGATGAGGAATGATCCAATCAAAGCAAACTTTTAGGATAGTTTCAAGAATCATGTTGGATGGTTGAAAGTCCACAGGTTTTGGAGCCAGAGACACCTCCAACTCACTTCAGTTCTGCCTTTCTACCTGGGGCAAGCCACTTAACCTGTCCAGAAATCAATGTCCTAGTCTGTAAAACGGGAATAGCAATAGTCTGCAGGTTTGTATTTGGACTTGGCATCTGNTAATAGTCTGTAGGCTTGTATGTGGACTTGGCATCTGGCTCAGAGGCTGGCACTCCCTGCACTGCAGCCAGTATTCGTCATGAGTGCAGTCCCTCTGCCTGTCCTCAGTTTCCACAGCACCGTGGGGAGGGGGGGGGCAAGCCTGTCATCCCCTTTCCCAAATGAACACAGAGCCTTTGGGAGGTTGGGCCCTTTCCTGGAGGTGCTTCCCCTCTTTGCAAACCCACCACTACCGTNTGGGCCCTTTCCTGGAGGTGCTTCCCCTCCCACCACTACCGTTTCCTCAAGGCCTTGCCCCTTCATGATGTCAGCGACCTTCCTCTTCTCTCTCTATTGCACTTAAANGCCCCTTCATGATGTCAGAGACCTTCCTCTTCTCTCTCTATTGCACTTAAAAGTCTGAAAACCTGATCTAGAAAGAGCTTAAGTAGAGTCATATGTACTTCTTACTGCCCCAGATTCTAAGTTCCTCAAGGACAGAAATTGTATATTTTTCCTTAATAATTATAAAAGTAATAGATGGTGATGCAAAACATTCTGAATAGTATCGATGGTAGAAGGTGGGAATAAAGATCCCCTAACTGCCATTCTCATGCCGAGGTAACTACTGCTAACAGCTGGCCTGTTTTTCTAGAAATATTCTATGCTAATGGAATTATATACAGTGAGTCATAAATTCATATATAAATATATATACTTTTTTTTTAAATATATATTTATTGATTTCAGAGAGAGGAAAGGAGACGGGTAGAGAGGGCCAGAAACATGAATGATGAGAGAGTCATTGATCGGCTGCTTCCTGCACGTCCCCGACTGGGGATCGAGCCCGCGACCCGCGCATGTGCCCTGACCAGTAATCGAACCCCAATCTCCTGGATCCTAGGTTGATGCTCAATCGCTGTGCCACACCCAGCCGGGCGAAATTCATATATTTTATTTTATTTTGATTATACAGGAATAACACATATGTATCATTCATATATCATCGTTGGTAGGTGTAGGGCCTGTCCATCTATCTGTGTATCTGTTTATCTATCTATCCACCTATTTATCCATCTCCTACCCATGGACGATCCATCTATTCATTTATTTAAATCTTATTTCACACATCCAGTTACCTACTCCCACATAGACAACCATTCTAATACAATATATATATCTCTTCTAATAGATCTCTCTATATACAGGTATAGAGATATATACGTGAGAAATACATATCTCTTATTTTTGAAAGTTATTAAATGTGACTATATTAATATATCATTTAAACAGAATCAGAAGTGTACACATGTATGTACACATATATTTTCACATGTGTGTGTATATATTTCTATGTTACTGCCTACAATACATGTAAAGCTGCCTCGGGCTCATCGATAGCTGATAGTATTGCATTGTATAGAGATACAATTTATTCCTCTATTGTCTTTGTACTTTGCTTTCTTGTACTTTTTCTTACACTTTGCTATTACCATCAGCACTGAAATGACAATTTTTGCACAAGCACCTTTGCACACTTGTATGAGTTTATCTGTAGAATAAATTGTAATTCTTAGTAGTGGAATATTGGGTTAAAATTGCCGTTGTTTTGTCAAATCACTTTTCAAAGAGAGAGAAACTTTCTATGTCTACCAAGAAAGTGGAGAGTAGACTCTGAGTCTTTGACAAAACACTGGAGCTCCTTTCACTAAACCATTAGATTTGAGACAAAAGGCCATCGCGGACTAAGCACAGTCTGAGCTCAGAAACACGGCCCTGTCTAGAGCACCCCTTCTTCCCACCCCCGCAGTGATGGGCATCATTTCACTTACACCCCACGGGAGAGAACATAGTCATGTGATGACACCCTACAGCCCGGAAAACTGGGAAATGCAGCCTAGCCCTCTCCGGCATGATCCTATAATGAGAGATGCAGAAGAGGGCAGTGGTGGACCTCAGGTGGCTCTGCCACCCATGGCAAGTTGTTGGACTTTATCCTGAGGCCAATGTAAGGTTGAAGAAGGACCAACTTATACAATTGACAGTTTTCCCCAACAAAAAACTGTGTCAGTGGACTTGGGCATGGGTCATTCACTGAGGACCTACTATGTGCCAGGCACTAGGCTGGGTGCTTCACCTACCTCAATTCTAACCCCCAACCTGCAAGGTGAGTCCCATGATTCCCAATACACCTCAGAAGCTTAAAGAGGTGAAGGGACTTGCCCAAGGCTGAGGATCTGAACCCACAGCTGGGTGACTATAAAACCCACACTCTTGCTTTCCATGGCTCTGGCCACATCAGTGCATAGCACTCATCCTCTAGCTGCTGTTCAGACCCCTCACTTCCCCCACTTAGGCTCCTGCTGGCCAGGTGTACGGCACATGCAGCCCTTGCACCTTGCCTAACTTGGACTCTCTTCTCATTTTCCAGACCCTATCTCATCTCCTTTGCTTGCTTCCGTGACCTTGGCAGCAACCTCGTTTGGTGCTCAGCCCAAGGTTTCCCCAGCCATGGAGTTACCCATTGGCACTGCTCAGGGATTCTATCGTCCCGTCTTTGGGGCCTATACAGTCCCTCCCTTCCAGTTCCAGGCTCGCCATGAGAGCATGGACTGGAGGCGCATCAGTGCCGTGGATGTGCACCGTGTGATACGGGAGCTGGATGTAGCCACCCTGCAGGAGAACATCACTAGCATCACCCTCTGCAACTTGGACAGAGAGGCATGCATCCACTGTGGGAAGCCTATGGACCCGGCACTGCTCAAGGTACTGCGCCTGGCGCAGCTGTCAATTGAGTACCTGGTTCACTGCCACAACAGCATGAGGACCAGCATTGCCCAGCTAGAGGCACGGCTGCAGGCCAGCCTGGACCAGCAGGAGCGTGGTCAGCAGGAGCTGGGCCGCCAAGCTGAAGAGCTCAAGGGTGTGCGGAAGGAAAGCCATGAGCGTCGAAAGATGATCAGCACCTTGCAGAATCTGCTCCAGCAGACAGGTGGCCAGTTCTACCACATGGTGAGGAATATCAATGGGGCAAGGAGAGTAGGAGGGGTGGGTGCCCAGTCACTGGCCCACCTGGGCAGCACTATCCTCTGGACCCTGAGGTCACAGTGGGACCATAGTCACTGGTTAGGAACAGATTTTAGAGACACTGCTCATGGCCAGAGGACCTGAGGCTGCCTGATCAGTTTATACCGTGTGTGTGTGTGTGTGTGTGTGTGTGTGTGTGTGTGTGTGTGTGTTTGTAGAGTGTGTATTGTGTAATGTGTGCTTATTTGTGTGTAGAAGTATGCACATGAAAATATGTTTATGGTGTATGTGAATGAGTGAATGTTGCATATGTGTCTAAGGGTGTATATATTTTTGAAACAGAGAATCCCAGGTTCAGTCAGGTGATTTAATCCTGCACTTTCCACTGCTTCCTCTCTATGTAGTGCCATCAGTGTGACAAGATGTTCGTGAATGCCACCTTTCTCCAGAGCCACATTCAGCGCAGGCATGAGAGCAAGACGGAAGGTGGTGAGTCTAGGTGGCCCTTCTAGGACTGTGGAAGGACCCTGACTGGAACTCAGTGGGTGGGGGCACATATATCACCAAAGCTGCCCTCACAACCTTGCCTCCAGCTGAGGGTGGGATGATCCCAATGGGGATGGGAGGTTTCTGACCATGTGCATAGAGAAAAGGAGCTGGCAGGCACACGGGCAGGTGCCAGTCTTAACTTTGCCCCTTTCAGTTACCGTCAGCGCTTCCCCCTCTGAGTCTCAGCGGCTCTCACTACGAGTGGGGCAGTTAGACAGAGTGAATTTGAAGGGTCCTCCCCCAGCCTTCTGTGAATCTGCTGTTCTCTGATTCGGACTGTGAATGAGCATAAAGGGGGTTAATGAGCAATCAGACCAGGTCTTTGACTTTATTCTGTACATAAGCTCATTATGACATAATCACCTTAATTTTACGGTTTCAAATTACAAAATGGGTAGTAAAGCTCTGTTTACTCCACAGAGAGATGTGCATGCTTTATATCCCTTTTTGAGGTTCAGTAAGAAAAACTATTAAAACATAACATATAGGCATGAAAATATTAATATAATACAAAGATTGAAAAGTCCCATAATAAAACTATCTTCTTATTTTCCCTCATTTTAATTTCCTTTTCAAAGAACAGACTTAGTTTTAAAACAGCACTATTTACCTAGTCACTGTGCATTTATTGTATATTTAATTACTCTTGATTCTATCTTGGAGGCTGCTAAAGAAAAACAGATTTTCCCCTTCTTAAATATTTTTTCTGATAAANAGAGGACCTGAGGCTGCCTGATCAGTTTATACCGTGTGTGTGTGTGTGTGTGTGTGTGTGTGTGTGTGTGTGTGTGTGTTTGTAGAGTGTGTATTGTGTAATGTGTGCTTATTTGTGTGTAGAAGTATGCACATGAAAATATGTTTATGGTGTATGTGAATGAGTGAATGTTGCATATGTGTCTAAGGGTGTATATATTTTTGAAACAGAGAATCCCAGGTTCAGTCAGGTGATTTAATCCTGCACTTTCCACTGCTTCCTCTCTATGTAGTGCCATCAGTGTGACAAGATGTTCGTGAATGCCACCTTTCTCCAGAGCCACATTCAGCGCAGGCATGAGAGCAAGACGGAAGGTGGTGAGTCTAGGTGGCCCTTCTAGGACTGTGGAAGGACCCTGACTGGAACTCAGTGGGTGGGGGCACATATATCACCAAAGCTGCCCTCACAACCTTGCCTCCAGCTGAGGGTGGGATGATCCCAATGGGGATGGGAGGTTTCTGACCATGTGCATAGAGAAAAGGAGCTGGCAGGCANGGGATGGGAGGTTTCTCACCATGTGCGTAGAGAAAAGGAGCTGGCAGGCACACGGGCAGGTGCCAGTCTTAGCTTTGCCCCTTTCAGTTACCATCAGCGCTTCCCCCTCTGAGTCTCAGTGGCTCTCACTACTAGTGGGGCAGTTAGACAGAGTGAATTTGAAGGGTCCTCCCCCCCAGCCTTCTGTGAATCTGCTGTTCTCTGATTCGGACCGGGAATGAGCATAAAGGGGGTTAATGAGCAATCAGACCAGATCTTTTACATTATTTTGTACATAAGCTCATTATGAAATAATCACTGTAATTTTACAGTTTGAAATTCCAAAATGGTTAGTAAAGCTCTGTTTTCTCCACAGAGAGATGTGCATGCTTTATATCCCTTTTTGAGGTTCAGTAAGAAATAGCTCTTAAAACATAACATATAGGCATGAAAATATTAATATAATACAAAGATTGAAAAGTCCCATAATAAAACTATCCTCTTATTTTCCCTCATTTTAATTTCCTTTTCAAAGAACAGACTTAGTTTTAAAACAGCACTATTTACCTAGTCACTGTGCATTTATTGTATGTTTAATTACTCTTGATTCTATCTTGGAGGCTGCTAAAGAAAAACAGATTTTCCCCTTCTTAAATATTTTTTCTGATAAAGAGATATTTCTTTAAAGGGATATTTGTATACCCATGTTTATAGCAGCATAATTTACAATAGTTAAGACATGGAAGCAACCCAAATGTCCATTGAAAGAGGAATGGATAACCAAAATGTGGTCTCTACATACAATGGAATATTATTCAGCCTTAAAAAGAAAGGAAATTGGGCATCTGCTACACATGGATGAACCTGGAGGACATTATGCTAAGTGAAACAAGTCAGTCACAAAAGGACAAACACTGTAATGATTTTACTTGTATGAGGTACCGAGTGTAGTCAAATTCACAGAAACAGAAAGTAGAATGGAAAGCAGGGGTTGGTGGGAGGGGGAATGAGCAGTTATTGTTTAATGGGTATAGAGTTTGTTTCACAAGAGGAAAAGAGTTATGGGGATGGGTGGTGGTATTGTTTGCTCAACATTGTGAATGTGTTTAATACCACTGAACTGTACACTTAAAAATGGTTTAAATGACAAACTTTACATTACATGTATTTTGCCACAATCAAAAAGTTGAAAAAAGGTGCTGTCGATATAGAAAATTTAAATGCAAGTAAGTAGAGAAAATAAAAATCATGAATAACATACCTGCAGTTAATAGTTTGGTGTATTCTCTGTAATTTTTTTTCCATATACATGTATAATCATACTCTATGCAGAGTTGACCTCGGTTATTTTCAATTAAGAATATGTCACATTTTCCAATGTCATTAAATCTTTGTAAACATGATTTTTAATGGCTGCTAATATCCCATCAAGTGGCTATTATAATTTATTTCTCAATTGAATTATTTCATAATATATGTGGGTTACTCAAAAAAGTCCCTGTTATAAATCACACGATGATCAGCATTCTTGTATGTAACGCTCCGTGCATATTCCTTCTTATTTCCTTAATGCAAAGTGCTGTAAGGAGAGGGAAGAAATGTTTGTAAAGCAATGTTGCTACATTAATGTTCATGACTTTTTTTTATTGGGTTTTCCGCTCTCCTATTCCACACTCACCTCAAATCACTTATTAACCCATATCAATTTCTGCAGCATCCAAGAATTGCCTGTTCCCAAAAAGTCCAATCTGAAAAAAGCCGTATCTCTTTTCAAAGAAAGACTTAAAGTTCTGGTCAAGAATGTGGCGTAGATAAATCTGGAATTTGCTGCCTCCCACAACCACATCAAAATTATTACTAAAATACAGAACAACCATGATTTAGAACCACTTGAAATCTAGTTGAACTGAAGACCTACTACTAGGGGATTAAAGAAGGAGCACATCAACACTGGGAGGAGGGGTAGGGGCATGGAACAGTTGGTCCCACATCCACATGTGGAGGTTTAAAATTGGGAGGGATGTCTTGGCTGTGGAGGTTTCCAGTGCCAGGAGGAGAAGTTCTCATAACTTTAGCTGTAAAAATTAGTGAGGATTGTGGCTGAGAGATACAGAATCTGCTGGCACCAGCAGTTTCTCTTAAGGAGCCTGAGGATGCACTTCCTCAGATTCACTCCCTCTGAACTCCAGCACTAGGGCAGTAGCTTGAAAGGAAACTGGGACACTTCTCTGGAATCAGGGTGAGAGCTGGAGAGGCAGCTTTCTCCCAGTCAGAAGTGATGGCAGAGGCCAGAGTTCCGTTGCTGAGCCCTCCCCCCCACAGAGCCAGCAGTTGGGGCACTATATCTGAATCTCCCTCAACCTGGCTCACATGTTTTGCCCCACCCTGGTGACCCCACCATGCCCTACTTGCAGGCTCATCCAAGCCATTTCCAGTGGCTTTTTCATACAACTGGCCTCTCTTGCCTCATGCTTCAGACTTTCCTAAAATCCCTCAAACAAGCAGCAGCTGGCCTCAGTGTTCCTGTACCTCTCAATAAGTGGCCTCAGGCCCAGCACTAGCAACAGCCCACCTTGGTTCATAGCTTTGCCTCTTTGGGGCGCCTCCAAGCCCAACACAAGTAGCAGCCTTCTGCAGATTGTTTTGTAGCGCATGCTGGGTGGCCCTGAGCAGGGCACAGGCAGTGGCTGACTTTGCACCTCCTGGGAAGTGCCAGAGCCAGCGCACCTGATGGTCACTTTTGACCACACCAGATTACAACCCTTCCACCTCCACGAGTAACACACCATAAGGTCAGCTCCTGCATAGCAGTTCTTTTGCTGTAGTTGCAGCTGATCCTCACAATGGATTGGCCTGGAGGTCAATCCCTCCCAGTGACACCAACATCAACCAAGGTTCAACTACAATAGAATAGTGCACACAGCTCACCCCTGGAATGGCCAGCTCAGATGACTGGGGAGGCTGAGCCACTGGGCCCTACAGGACACCTACTACACAAGACCACTTTACCAAGTGCAGGAGACATAGCAGATCTACTTAATACATAGAAACAAACACAGGAAAACAGCCAAAATGTAGAAACAAAGAAGCATGTCACAAATGAAGGAACAGGAGAAATCTCCAAAAAAAGAACTAAATGAAATGGAAACAAGAAAACTTCCAGATACAGAGGTCAAAACAATGGCTATAAGGATGCTCAAGAAACTTACTGAGAACGTCAAGGAACTTAGTAAGAATTTTCAGAAACTTAGAACATCAACTACATAAAAAAGGACCAGTCAGAAACGAAGAACACACTAACTGAAATAAAAAAGAAAGTACAGGGAGTCAACAGTAGGATAGAGGATGCTGAGAATCAAATCAAGAACTTGGAATATAAAGAAGCAAAAAACACCCAATCAGAAGAGCAAAAAGAATCCAAAACTATGAAGATAGTGTAAGGAGCATCTGGGACAACTTGCTAACACTTGCATCATGGGGATGTTAAAAGGAGAAGAGAGGGAGCAAGAAATTGACAACCTATTTGAAAAAATAATGACAGAAAACTTCCTTTACCTGGTAAAAGAAATAGACAGGAAGTGCAGAGAGTCCCAGACAAGAGGAACCCAAAGAGGGCCACACCAAGACACATCATAATTAAAATGCCAAAGGTTAAAGACAAAGAGAGACTCTTTAAAGCAGCAAGAGAAAAGCAGTTACTTACCTACAAGGGAGCTCCCATAAGACTGTCAGTTTATTTCTCAACAGAAACTTTGCAGGCCAGAAGGGAGTGGCAAGAAACATTCAAAGTGATGGAAAGCAAGGACCTACAACCAAGATTACTCTACCCAGCAAAGCTGTCATTTAGAATTGAAGGACATACAAAGAGCATCCCAGGCGAGAAAAGGCTAAAGGAGTTCACCACCATCAAGGCAGTATTATATGGACAGTTAAAGGGTCTTGAAGAAGGAGAGGGAGGAGGAGGGCGGGGAGGAGAATCATGATCAAGAAGACAAACAATGAAATGGCAATAAATACACATCAACAATTGAATCTATAAATCAAAATAAATGAACAAGCAGAACAGAAACAGACTCATAGATAGAGAACATTTTGATGGCTGC